ATAATGTAATTACTGGATTTACATGTACTCTATGGTCATGCACTATTAAAAGACGTCGACATTGTTCTGTTCAAACTAAAATGAAACAGAAGATTATGATTTTGCTATAACTACGCAAAAATACCCGTAGGAATCTGATCACGCAAATGACATACTCAATCATAAAATATTGTATGAAAAATCTTCATCAACTAGAAATAATACACTTAGAGAGGTAGAATACAATCGCAAAGCGAACATTAAAAATAAAGAAAACAGTATTCGGAATTACTGAATAATACCAAACAGAATACATAAATCGATAAACAACTCTATTTAAAGATATAGTCCAGTTTCATGTGAAGACAGTGGAATCATTAGTTGAGTACATGCAATAAGAGAGTTTCCATGGGCTCATAAAGTGAAAGTGGTGTCGATGCAGATGCTTCAGTGACAATTCGAAGTAAATATCTGTTCGAAGAAAATTTTCTGTCAGTCCGAAAAGGAATCTCCTCTCGGTTGAATCCTACTTAGTACGTAGTTCTAGTCAAACAAGACATATTTTACTCAGAGAGTACCAAGATTCAATTTGTCAGTGTTTGTTGGATTCTTTCATGTAAAATTGAGTTTATATTCTCAAAACAGATAGAACATCTATTAAAATATACCTAAACAAAACTCTCATGCAGCAATTGAGCGCATCATATGGCCCACCTGAAGAAATGGAAATTCACAGAAGAAATCATCAAAGAGGATTCAATAAAAATGACGGGAGGTTGCAAGACATAATGATGAACGAAATGATTCAGTCTCTCAATGGTACGACGACATCACTATCAATCAATTAATAGTGCGATACATACGACTCCCATTCAAAACTTCCATCTCAAACAACTTCGCAGGCAAAAAGAAATGTTATATAAATGCAAAGACAAGTTAGGACTTAAAAAGATTAATGCTCAAATCAAATCTGAAATCAAAAATCTTAATGCTATCTATAACCAAACACTTTTATCATGCAAATCTCCTAACAGCATGTGGAAACTTTTCAATGAAATTACTGGCAATAGTAAGCGATGTAATGTTTTTCCCTCTTGTGATGTTAATGCTCTTAATCTGTCTTTTATACGCTCTCCTTCTACTATAACCACTTCTAACGTTACTAATCTTGTAGCTGATAACTTCCAGGACTTTAATACTCTCGATGTTTTGAAATGTCTTAAAACTCTTAAGCCCTCACATAGTCTTGGCCCTGATGGCATACCTGCATATGTTCTAAAACAATGTGCAGATGCTTTATGTTCTCCTCTAACTAATATCCTAAATGCTTCTTTCTCCGAAAACGTTGTACCTGTTCCATGGAAAGACATTAAAATAGTCCCTGTCCCTAAACCTGGCAATAGCAAGAACGTAAAGTTCAGACCCATTGCCATCACTTCCCCGTTTCTAAAGCTCATGGAAAAACTAGTACTTCTTAAACTCGAACCCTCCCTTAAAAGCTTCGAAGACCCCAAACAATTTGCCTACAGACAGGGTAGGAGTACTTTAGACGCTGCAGCCGTCTTACACAACAGTATTGTCTCATCATTAGACAAAGGTGCCAAATATGTCCGCTGCACGTTTCTTGACTTTACTTCTGCTTTCGACTCTGTACCTAGATGTCTCTTGCTAAATAAGCTCTCCATGACACAAACCGAGTCCTGGGTCACTAACTGGTTGCATTCCTACTTTTCAAACAGAATGCAGTACACCGTATACAAAGGCGAATCCTCCTCTGCTGTGCTCACTGAAGCTGGTGTCCCCCAAGGTGCTGTACTCTCCCCACTTCTCTTTTCTTTCTTTCTACATGACCTACCATCTTCAAATGACATTAACTTTGTCAAATATGCTGATGACCTAACTGTATCTTTACCTGTCAAATGTCAAAGTGACTGCTCTAAACTAAATGGCTTCTTATCAGAAATCAGCCAATGGTCCAAGGAAAACGGTCTCACCTTAAACCCCTCCAAATGCCAAACAGTTAATTTCACCTTTAGGCACAAATCTGACCTAAACAAACTGGTTAGCACTCACGAGGTGTGCAACATAGATGGCACTGAAATTGAAACCAAGTCGGAAATTAAATACCTAGGCGTCACTCTATCTTCTGATCTTTCCTGGTCGTCTCATATCTTGACGATTTCCAAGAAAATATTCCGTCTTACCTTCTACATCAAGAAGTTAAGACATTCTGGTGTAACCCAACCCTTACTCCTACAATTTGTTAACTCCCGTATTCTGCCTATTATTCTCTATTGTTCCCCCTTAGTCTTTCCTGGGCTATTGAAGAAAGACTATACCTTATTACGTAGGATGTTAAAGGTTGTCAGCAGGGTAAGCAGTTTGCCACTTAGCCAGCTTGTTAATATTCTGGTGGACAGGCACATGGACTCATGTGAAAAATGGGCGAAATCCATTTTATCTGACTCACAACACCCTCTACATTCACAACTCTCCCCATGTATCTCTTCAGGGGAAACCAGAAGCCTATATAGGAAACTATATGCCCGCACTAGTAAGTACAAAAACTCATCCATACCCTACCTAGCTCGTGTTCTGTGCGATAAAGAAAGCATTAGGCGTGAAACCTTTAACTTATTAAATAGTCAGTAGAACAATGGATCTCGTCTTTCCAACTCATACCATTTATAGGTACAACGTTTTCTTTCTCCTCTACCTTTTCTCTCTCTTTTTTTTTGTTATGTGCTGTTTTGTTTCTCTCTTCCTTACAAACTCTACTTAAAACATTCTTGTTCGTTCTTTCACACTCTGTATATCTCGACCATTTTGCTATCGCTTACGCCAGTAAATATGCTAGTAGTATCTACTTTTCTAACACCTTCAAACACTGTTTAAATTTTGGCTTTGCTACCGACATGCTAATATGTTGTTGTGAAAACTGACTGAGATAAGTTTAATCTATGTAGAACTATATTTATTGTTAATGTTCTAACTGGATGCAATATTGTAGTAAAGTGGTGAGAATTCCATTCTGTAACACAAGTACTGATTTGGAATACAGCTTATCTTATCTTATATTATCTATCTTGTTCATTAGCTAGTTAAATCGTTAAAGAGTGTGAAGTCCAATGCCGTCTATATATATCACTTGATAGAGATGTGCTAACTGCCATCAAATGACACAGGAACATTTCTTAGAATGAATGGAAAGTGCAAGTTTCTGATTGTCACTTCCCACATGAGATAATCCCTTCGTTCCTGAGACGGTATTAGCTCCACGCTTCACTCACAGAAGATGTGACAGTTCCACGGAGAGGTGTCACACACCTCCGACAACCTAATCATCACAACACACACTGCAAACAACATCAATTGAAGCTAAGAGCTCCAAGCAGACATTTCACTTTGGTGATGGCTCGTTCGTTCGGAATCGACTGCACTCCCACAACTGTCATCTTTACTATCCTCAGCTCTCGTTTAAATCAATCATCACGATGTTTGTTCGCAATGAATGGATTACTCGTGTGTAAACTGCATAGCTCAGAATGGCGACAAGATGTATTCTGAGATTGCTTCCATATCATTTATGGTAGATATTGGAGACAGGTGGATTCATTTATGTGTTCAACGGATTTCTGGTAAATTCTCATTCTTTTGGTTAATTCTTCACTTACTTATATCTTTAACGTAACATTTGAAGCGGAATGTGTATTTCGTTATACTGAATGTAGTGAGTGAATTTAGTTAATAGGGCGGTATCACAATAGTGGATCATTTTACATCACCCAGGGAAAACATTTTAAAAGTACTACATTTAATATAGCATTGCAGACAGATGTGAAGGCAGCATAATCATAAGGAACAGATACATATCGGGAGAGATTTCATGCGCTCATTATGTCATGTTTGTGTATATCGAGATACTTCAGTGACAATTTAGAGTAACTGTTGGTTCAAGGGGGTTTTTCTGTCAGTTCGAAAATGCATTTTCTCTGGAGTCCTTGTTACTCTAAATTCTATGTTTCTGAGTTGATACTTACGATGTTTCAATGCCTTGAGTTTTCTGTATTTTCAATATTTCAACTCTTGTTTTTCGATTTTCACGTGTATGTTCTGCAAGTGATTGAAGTTTATACATTAAATAATGGGAATATTTTTACTTTCTCATAATATACTAACTTCACCGTTCAGCTTCAGAAATGGTGATTAAAATTTATTCTTGCTGCTGAATTTATGTTAAGAACGAATTAGTTTATGATGCCATACATATGTTCACTGAGACTTTGATCGTCTATTCTTCGATGACATCTTTATCAACGCTTTCCTTGTTTTACACATCTTACTTCTATTCTCAAGAAAACGTCACATTTAAATTAACCTCTCATTCTTTAGCCAGTAGTTTTTTTAAAGTTTGAGGTGTCTGATGGTGTCTATATTTGTTTATTTGTAGAGTTATACTAAGTTCCATGAAACTAGGAAAGTGGGAATTCCTGATAGTCACTTGCCACATGAGATAGTCCTAATCATCACAACACACACTTCAATCAACATCAATTGAAGCTAAGAGCTCCAAACAGACATTTCACTTTCATGATAGCTAATTCGTTTGGAATCACTTGGACTCTCACAACTGTGATCCACACTATCGCTGGCAGTCTATTTCTGTTTATCATTATTATTTTCAGCTTTATTTCGTTTCTTTTTATGTGAATCTTTTTGTGCGTACCGATATCGTCACATTTTTCCTAGATTTTTGCCTGATTTTAATTTGGTTTCTTTTCGTTTCTTAGTTTGATGTTATATATTTTTGGTTTTTTATTTCATCACGTTTTAGCCTTTATTGTATCTTATTTATGCTTAATTTTTCCTTTGACTGAAATCATTCGGATATTTATTGACATTTTGTAAATATTTAATATAACTTTATGAAGATACGTTTTCTTCCTGTTTCTTTTTGTTTTCACGGATATCATTGTCTTATGTTTTATTCCTGTGATCACTGGAATCATCTGACATGGTGTTCACTTACGTTTATCTTTAAATGCGTGATAAAAATGTGTAAAAACTTCGTTATTTTTGAAGTTTATACATTCAGTAATTTTTTGTTGACATTATTTGAATATGTTTCTATAGTTGCATTTTACTAGGGATATCTGGGTATTTTTTATTTATTTTACTCATAAAATGGATAACCTATGTAATCTTCGTATACAATCTCCCTTCCTGCTGTTTTTTATATTCAAATTTTTCATTAGTAGCGTTGACCAAGCAACCATTAGGGATATGCGCTATTTTCTGTGATTTGACGTTATGCACTGTAGGACGATTGCAAAAGAATCTTTTGGAGAAATCTACTGGGGAATCATAAATAATCAAGGATGATTCTCCTAATATTCATAATTGTAAACACCTTTTTAAATCGAGTACAAAGAAAAAACACTCTCAGTCACACTTTTGCACCATGTTATTTCTTTGTTAGGTCTTGGAAAGAGTGTTTCCCAAAACTCTCACGTACAACATGAATTGTTTACGAATGAAGAAGACCACTGGTGGACTACGATGCTACTGTTAGCAGGGTAAAACAGGTTAAAATACTACAGTTCTACAGTAGCATTCATAGCCTACAACCAAGGATAGTATGTTTTCGCCTTGCACTAGGAGGGATGCTTTTATTTATTCCAACGAATATGTCGCTAATTCCAATACCAAACACAAAATTGAGCAAAGTTTATTAACAGAACATTGTTGAAAATTTAAGTAAGTGGGCAAACTATCTAGTTCCATTTCAGTGTAATGACGCAGACCATTTCACACCGAGCATTTTGAATTATCGTCTTGGTCCATTGAATGGAAATCCAGCTCTCATGATTCCTAATCGAATTCATTTAGATGAATCAAAGATGATTGAAGAATGGATCATAGTACGCCTCGGTGGAGTTTTTTGAATAACACAACTAAGTCAATCAGGTTATGTTGATAAACGTTCCTGTATTCCTGTCTTCACTTCTAAGACATCGTCCAGTCTGTTGTATTGAATCACGCATTATGTGGCGTCATCATATACATGTTGGATGAAGATGGTAAGGCTTCAGTGCACTCCGTAGTGTTGAGACGGTCACAAAATAATGGTGTGGTCAGCGCCGTCGAAAGCATTTTCATAGTCAGCGTACTCTGGATAGATGTCTAGCCGCTAGTTTATGGTGTCCGTCTTTTTATTAAATTTGACTGACATAAACTTTGATCTACGATTCACTCTATCCCATAATTCCTCGATTTGAGAGAGTAAAAGCATTAAATGAGCTTTTGGTGGAATATGCCATCTACACAGGCTTTAAACCATGCAAAGTCGATTTTATGTGTTTATCTTGGACACCTGTCCAAGTATGTATACAAACTCGAATTCCCTGCTACAGACTAACAGATACTCTGTAGACTTCTAAACATAAACCTCATATGAATTTGATGATTCATAATTTAGTATCAAAAACCGAGGACATTCATCACTAATTTGTTTACATCAATATCGCAACCAACTAGAGCACTTCAATAAGTATCGTTGTCAGGACTATCTATAAACTCACCCTAAATTTCTTTTTATAAGATATTTCTTACACTCGTGAAATTCGGTTGGCGGTCTAGTTGTCATGCTTTTTAAAGTGATCTGAAATCATCCGACCTTGTATAACTTTTTGAAAAGTAAGCGATTTCCGATTACATAAAGCAAACGAATAACTTTGCAAGGAATTGCCCATGATTTTATTCATATTTCAACTCACCTAGAATAACTAAAATTTGAAAATTGCAGAAATAAATTATTTTCATGGAAGCTTCTTTTTGATACTGCCTAATGTCACATATTTATGCCGAAATTCGGCCTCTTGAAGTGATGCTTTAAAAATCTCTTTCGAATCGTTGATTCAGTGATGGATTCTTTTGGTTTACAGCGTGCAATCATGAGGGTGTAACGAGCCAACTGATCTCAGCACGCCTCATATTAAGGCTTTGAAGACTGCCGGTGTGAAATTGTGTTCTAACATCGAGACTGGATTGTGTTTTTGGGTCTACAGCTGTAGGAATCAACACACCTTGAATGTATGGCCTGCTTGAAATGCACTAGTCAAACTGACCAATGCTTTTAAATGAAGACATGAGTTGAACACTATACGTTACGACATAGCCTAACGACTGGCAGATACACTGAAGCCACTTCAATTGGAGCAGGCTAAATATAATATGGTAGATATCTCCAGAAAGGTCAATAATGTAACAAAGATTCATTTGGAATTCACTTTACAATTCATTAATGTCCTCCTTTCACAAAAGACCATTATTGTTGTATGTGAACCTCCAATACATAATGACATTAGAACATAGAATGACTGTACGATGAATGCACAATTTCAGACTAACAACAACATTTTTCTACTCAGATTGAAGTCATGCAAATAGGTTGCATTATTATCACACATCCAACCGATAGGTGTATGAAAACCATTCAGTGATAAATGCAATCAACAAAAATGGTTCTATTGTACCTACGAAGATCTGCAGTGTACATACTAGTAATCACAAGTCAAATATACTGGCTTAAAGTTGACTTTTAAAGTAGCTGTGTTTAGATGACTGTAAAAGTGTCGTTAGGATTCATTACTGTAGAAAAATGAGTCCCTGGAAAATAAGTCGGTTGAAATATTTCTGGTTGTAAAATGAGAACTTCTAAATTACTGAAACAGACGAAAACAGTAAAACAAAATATGACTCACGTAGCTGAACTAAATCTAGGAAAAACACCACAGGTACGGGTAAACGAGATTTATTAACTCATTATATCATTATTACTACGGATACTGTCTGTCTGTCTGTTTTCGACATAGAACTTTGCACAAATGTGCGGAAGTTCAAGTCGCCACATTCCGTGTAGCACGCGAAGCAAGAGAAGAAAGTACAAGAAAAGCATAATAGAAACAGTGAGCAGAGGTGTGAGACAAAGGAGTAATAAAGAAATACAAAACAGTTTCATTGAAGATCATAAGTCACGGATACTATTATTATTTTAATCTCCACTAAAAACAGTATAAGATCAGCATATTCTACATTGCAGAAGTTCCGAATTTGTTATTTTTTCTTTTTTGATTTTTTTGATTTACAGCTTGATTCCACACTGTATTTATGGTACAAGTATGGAATTCTCAGCATGGATATCGGTAGCCCAAAATTTGCAGGCCGACCATAGATATCAGGTGTGCGCCGGCGTGGGCTCGAACCCCAGACCATGTGCATGGTCGGCGAGAGTCCTAACCACTGTGCCACCGACGCACAGCTGGGAAATAAAATACTGAAGTAGAGGTCATCCAAGTATTCAAACGTTTTCATGTGACTGGAATTCAGTTCATAACGAACAGAAACAAAATAGGTATTGGATTATTCTACCTGTATAAGGTTTGCAATCTTTCTGATATTAGTGATACCATAACTCATTGTTCGTATAAACTATTCAATGTTTGCAACTGGATTCAGCCCACTGAGCGAATTTCATCAGGTGCTGTGTGACGATCTTCAGATCAGTATTTCATTTTCCTACATGATTTATCCATTCAATTTCGAGTGATTAATTAAACAATGTTGTTGCACCCTTCTTTGGCATACATTCATGAAACAATCTATTTCAGGAGAAAAGCAGAAGAATATTCAAGCACAATATGTAGAGGGTGGGCAAACAGTTTTAACGAAATTGCACAAAATCTTGAAAACATTAGAAGCACACGTGCTGAACGATTAAAATTAAAAAACGATTTCTGTTAAAATAAATATTACAAATTAGGAATAAAAATTTATTTAGCTTTAGTCTTACTCTGCTCCTTACCCATATCTTCTAAAAATTAAAAGTATTTACATAAGAATACCAGAGAGAAGTCCAAATTTAACCTATGCCTCTTGTGTAGAGATAAAGGGTATATAAGATTCAAATAACCTGAATATTTTAATGCGTATTGAGAAGAATACGAAGGAACGTTTGACTACTGATTCATTTAGTGTGTGACAAGAATGACACAGAATCATGACAGAATGTATGGCTGGCGTGCAGACAATTAAATTCAGATGGAGATGTAGAAAATGTCAACTATGTTGGATTTCTTTTGGCACTCTTCAACCTTAATTTTTCGCAATAAGGGTTAAAATATGCACGTAAAGTTTTCTTGCGAAAAATGATGCCGCATTGACGCGACTAATTCAAACAAAATAGCCGAGACGCAATCAGTTGTGCTCAGCTTTCCCTAAAAGTGGATGATGATTGCCAGCTGAGGTTTATGAATAAAAAAGTTTGTAAGACACCAAGATCAAATAAAATTTGTTGAATAAAACTTCTTGAAATACGCCAGAATATGTAGAAACATTTTTAAAGTGATTGTGTTCCTGAGCTGGATGGTTGATTTGCGAAGCTTTCATCACCCTCCTGGTGACATCTTCAGCGAATACTTCAATTTGAAGTGAGCTTTTAGATTTCTCCACGAGTTTATTAATCATCTCTTCTGTTGACCTTGGACGTGATTGGTTGTTTTTGTGTGTTTTCACCCCTTCTAGGCTACTTGTATTGGGACTGATTGTTTCTTTGACTTGAACTTTGACCCTTTGTGTGTGAAGTTTCTTTCTTACCGGTTGATAAATTTTGTCTATCTCTATGTGTTTATTGATTGATGATTCACTGGAATGCCAAGCTTCTAAAAATTCTCTAGCATTCTTGTTGTTTCCTTTGTCTAATATTTGAACGTTGTCCCAGTCGAATTGATGTCCGTGGTTGTCTGTGTGTAGTGATATGAGGGAGTGGATATCATGTCTTTTGATGGTTAGCTTATGTTCGTGGATACGAAGACGAAGGGGACGTCCACTTTGGCCAATAAAGTGGTTTTCGCAGTTGTTACAATTTATTTTGCATATGATGTTGGTTTTATCTTCTTTTGCTGTTGAGTTTTTTGGTTGACATAGAATTGATTGAAGCGACTCCGTTGATTTGTGTACGACGTCAATTCCCAGAGGTTTGAGGAGTCTTGTAGTGATTTCTGAGATATCCTTTATATATGGTAAGACGATTTTCTTTGTGCTTTCCTAGGTGGCTTTTGCTTTGGTAGGTTGGCTTAGGGGTATATGTCTCTTGATGAAATTCCGTGGACATCCATTCTTTTGGAAGACGTGCGTTAGATATTTCTCTTCAATTTTCCTTAAGGTGGGAGTGCTGCAATGAGTCCTTTCTCACTTGAATAGTGTTTGAATGCAATTCCTTTTGTGTGTTATTGGGTTGTTGCTATTGTAATTCAGGATTTGGTCTGTGTGAGTTGATTTCCTATAAACTTGAGTTTCTAATTCTCTTGAGGTTGTTCGCTTGACTAAGACGTCTAAAAATGGTATTTTGTTCACGGATTCCTGTTCCCTTGTGAATTTGATGTCGTTGTTTATTAAGTTGTGAGTTTTATCTAGCTTGTTTCTTTTGATTGTTATAAATGTGTCGTCAACGTAGCGTATCCAAATCTTGGGTTTGATCTTTGATAGAGTTATGTTTTCGAGTCTTTGCATCACTGCTTCCGCAATCAAACCTGATATTGGCGATCCCATGGGTGTTCCTTTGACTTGTTCATATATTTGGCCGTTGAATTGGAAGTATGTTGTTAGGCATAGATTTATGCATTCCATCCAGCTTGTGTGTTGCACTTTTGATTGTTGTGGAATTTGTTCGTCGTTGCTAAGTAATTTCTCCATGGTTTCTTTTGCTAGTTTTTGTCCGATGGAGGTATATAATGCTGTCACGTCGAAGGATACGATTATTTCTTCTTCATCCATTTGGATGCCTCTGATTTTCTCTAGAAATTGGATAGCAGAGTTGATGGAAATCAACTTACACAGACCAAATCCTGAATTACAATAGCAACAACCCAATAACACACAAAAGGAATTGCATTCAAACACTATTCAAGTGAGAAAGGACTCATTGCAGCACTCCCACCTTAAGGAAAATTGAAGAGAAATATCTAACGCACGTCTTCCAAAAGAATGGATGTCCACGGAATTTCATCAAGAGACATATACCCCTAAGCCAACCTACCAAAGCAAAAGCCACCTAGGAAAGCACAAAGAAAATCGTCTTACCATATATAAAGGATATCTCAGAAATCACTACAAGACTCCTCAAACCTCTGGGAATTGACGTCGTACACAAATCAACGGAGTCGCTTCAATCAATTCTATGTCAACCAAAAAACTCAACAGCAAAAGAAGATAAAACCAACATCATATGCAAAATAAATTGTAACAACTGCGAAAACCACTTTATTGGCCAAAGTGGACGTCCCCTTCGTCTTCGTATCCACGAACATAAGCTAACCATCAAAAGACATGATATCCACTCCCTCATATCACTACACACAGACAACCACGGACATCAATTCGACTGGGACAACGTTCAAATATTAGACAAAGGAAACAACAAGAATGCTAGAGAATTTTTAGAAGCTTGGCATTCCAGTGAATCATCAATCAATAAACACATAGAGATAGACAAAATTTATCAACCGGTAAGAAAGAAACTTCACACACAAAGGGTCAAAGTTCAAGTCAAAGAAACAATCAGTCCCAATACAAGTAGCCTAGAAGGGGTGAAAACACACAAAAACAACCAATCACGTCCAAGGTCAACAGAAGAGATGATTAATAAACTCGTGGAGAAATCTAAAAGCTCACTTCAAATTGAAGTATTCGCTGAAGATGTCACCAGGAGGGTGATGAAAGCTTCGCAAATCAACCATCCAGCTCAGGAACACAATCACATCAAATTTATTCACCTGAGGTACAAATCTTCCTTTATCATATGTAGATACGTATTCACCATTTCTGTAACACTGACAGCCGGATATTGAATCATTCGATCAATATCAATGTATAATAAATATTGCTATGGTAAAATTTAGGACAACACATCTAAGCAAACAGTGTTGTTTTGAATTCTATCTTATCGTGCTTAAGTCCAATAAGCATAATTTCACCAATAAATTATAAAATATACACAATTTGCGGTGTTGTGTCAAACTGATAATAGGATTTTGTGCATAGATTGTTCATTTGGTCATCGTAATACTAATAATAATTCTGATTCTATCAGTATTTATGATGAAAATGTGGAGTGATTTGTGATGGCAATAATTATGAGAACCACATCACTGAACAACGAAATTTTCAGGTAGAAGTAGTCAATAAAGGCTAAGAAGAACAAATTGACCTTTAAATTAGTGCTAGATTGTGCGGAAAGTAACTAAATTTTGTTTTGATGAAGATGTGATAAGATGATGGGATGGTAAGATGAAGGTTAAGAACAGAAGTAAGGGATAGCGCTGTTGGTTTAGTCATAATAGATCAAAGGAGTGACAACGCCTTACCAAGTTCACTTGAATTCATAATTGAGGCTTAATAGTTCGGATGCCTTATCCATGTGCATTGGGGAAATACGTCGTCTACTGTAAAGATTTGATGGAATACTATGAATTATTCAAGTGTTGGTTTAAAGGGATTTGATTGATTGCTTACAGGATTTTATCATGGGCTGACACTAAATAGAGAACCATTATAAAACCTGAGAGTACTGGGTAGCTGTTTCTTCCTAGTTTGCAATGGGGTTCGAACCCAGGACCTTCTGGTTACAAGGCGATCTCGTAGATCATTGAGCCAGAAGGTCCTCGCCTTGTGATCAGAAGGTCCTTGGTTCGAATCCTGGTGGATGAGTACTGCTGAAGAGTCCCAAACTAGGATGAAACAGCTGTTCAGTATTTACAGGTTTTCCAATGGTTCTCTAACTAATGTCAGCTCACTATGAATTACTTTGAATGTTTTCTTCTCCTTCATTAAATACTCAGTAGAAACTTAATGCGACAAAACGGAGCTACAAATAGCCTTTTTCTGTCCTTCGCCCAACCGTAATGGGAAATGTTCGGTAACACGTTGACTAAGGTTTCTAGTAGTAGGCCCAAAATAAATGCCATTGTAGGTTCACCTAGAATGACAAATACACATATATGTGGTAAAACTATCTAGCCTAACCTTCGTTGAGTTCCAATCATTCATCGGTTAGAAAATGACAAACATAGATTTCCTGAGTAAAACATTCTTCTTATACTCCTGAAAATTCTTGTGAATTAATTCCCGCTCTTCACTTAAACACGAAATTTTAACTTGAATATTTTCGCATATGATACTAACCTTATTTTGTGCGTCGATGGCACAGTGGTGAGGACTCTCGCCGACCATGCACATGGTCCGAGCCTCGATCCCCTGCCGACGCACAAAATTCCAGCTACCGATATCCATGCTGAAAATTCCATACTTGTACCAAAAATACAGTGTGGAATCAAGCAGTAATCAAAAATAAAAAAATAAAAAAGTAATATCTGCATATGTTTCTTCATAAATCTACTAGGATATCTCTTCTCCGTGAAGGATTCATGAATGTAAATTCACATTAATTTCGCATGTGATCATCCTCATATATCCTTGTAAGTCACTTGCAACATTTCTTATATATTTAATTGGAACTTAACTAAAGAAATTTTTATCGTACTGCAAATACACCTTTTATATTCACGCTTCTTCCAAGTGACTCATCTCACCTACTTAGGAAGATATCCAGAAAATGCAGTTTGTCATCCTGCTCCTCTTTACAAGTAAAATTAAGCGAAGGGTGCATGTTATTAAATTTCTTGAACAATTCATCTGTGCTTACATTATCATTAACTAAGATAAATGTATCACCGAAATAGCGTCAATACATATCCAATTCCTTGATGTTGTCTTTCAGTCTCCTATCTGCAAGTTTCGCGAGGCAGAATTCAGCTAAGATTAGGCCTAATGATGAAACTATTTCAACATCACTGTCGGAATTAATCTGCATTTTTTGGGAAAGTAATTGAAAGATGGTTGAAATTCTTAAGGAAACAGTAATGAATGAAAATCGAATTTGCTTGCATTATGTATCGAGTCCTGGCTAATTCCGTTTGTCTTCAGACATGGAAAATGCTCAGATACAAGTTGTCTTACTGTCTCTTCACAAATTGGTGGATGCCGAAATTTTAGAGACAGAGAAGTCATTGGCAGGAGATAGTGCCAATTAACTCTTTAGACCCACTGATCATATCCTTTGTGAAAGATCAATCATAAGCAAAGCGATTTTCGACAAGCGCGGTAATTTAATGACTTTTTAGAGTAGATTACTGGAACATTCTAGGGGACAATAGGAAGAGGGATTCAAAAGGTTTGCACTCAAACTAAATTCTTTCCATTGCACTCTTTATGTGATATTGATATTCGCAACAGAAGCAATAAAAGTCTGTAATTTAAAATGACAACACTGTATAACTCCAAAGGCGTCTGTGTATGGTAGCAGTAGCATTTTGACTGGGTCTCGTAAGATGCCAGATAGCAATTCATAATCCAAAACGGCCCCTTTGTACTGATGTTATATAAAGTGTGCCTCAGCTCATGAAAAGACAGGCCACGCTTCTTGTGAAATTTATACTGAGATTGGCATGACTAACATCGTAAATTAAGTTCTGGGTTCGCCAACCAGTCGTACATTAGGCGGTACTCGAGAGAGACAATTTCAAAAATTCAGGCAGCCTAAGTGATCAAATTTTCACCCTCTGACAGACTCTGGAACGAATGCCTACTTACCGGAGTTTAACACTTGTCATTGCTATGCAGCCTAACTTTTTATCAGGCAACACTCTTGTCGACTTAGATGACACAAATGATATTGAACTTCTATGTGAAAGTGCTGAGTAAATTAGAGTCTTCCAAACACTGAGCAGAAATCTCAGTATTTTTGGCATGTGACTTGCTGCTCTCTTACGTAAGATGATGTTGCAGGACTGCTCTGCACAGACTCCTAATTCAAATTTAAGGAGTGAAATCATTGACCCTGTTGAACCCTTCACGTATTTTAGAATCTGTTGGCGGAATCTTTGCATGGATAGAAGGTTCGTCAATTCACGACATCTTTGGTGTAGTAGGTGTACCAGGCTATCAATCAAGGAACGTGTGCGCTACACAGTAGTCAACTCTGTCCTTATTCATGGCTGTGGGACTTTGCCACTGAGACTGAAACACGTGACGAGACTGGGTATTTGGGAGTATATATGGCTGTATTCTGTTGCCTGTGTTGAACGGTATAATATGGTGAGCTGCACTGAAGTTAGGTGAGCAGTGTTATATGAGGAGTTATGTCTACCAATGAAGTTGGGAAACTGAACTTATTTAATTACCTAGATCACGCATTCATCATGATGAGTCATCGTCTTATTCGTCCATCCATGTCAAATGACCCAGAATTACGCTTATTCATATCATCCACACATTCACGTTCATAATATTTCTTTTGAATTTTTAACTCTCTCTGGTGTGCTATTCAGAGCGTGGCAAATTGAACTGCTGCAATTTTACGTACAGGTTCAAAAAAAAACTCAGCAACACATAATAAATTTAGGATTAAAACGAATTTGAAAATGGCACATACCCTTTTCTTCTGTAGAGTGGCCTGTATGAAACACAGATTTAAAACAAGAATTAAGAAAAACATATGAGAACAATGAATTTAGCCAAAAGTTGTTGATAGCTGTCACTGTATTTAACAAAATCATTGTTTCACTTCCATTTTCTATAACCATATCTGAATGAAAATCGATTTGACTATCGCAACAAAGGACACCAAATGAGCTGTTAGTTATCCCTCATTCACATAACGGCAGTCTGCATTTCGTGATGATTACATCAAAATTATGTACTGTTTAGTTATTGGGTTATGTTAGCCAACATGAGGATTATGAGCTGTTTCGTCTTAGGGCTGCTGTTACTCAGGTTTATCTTTAATCATCACCCACCATACCAATACAAGGTGTGTCTTGTTCGGTTAGTATTCAGCCACTTGTTCATGGGTTCCAGTCACGTTTCACCTACGAAACTGAATTAAATCATCAGGTCTTAAGTAGTGTGGTTAACTCAATGTCTGTTACGTGAAGAATCTATCCCACGTTGCTGATTCGTATCATTGCTATCAGTCTTCAAGCGCCAAGTCAGCACACGTTCTTCACCAGTGCAATACATTTCGATTGATTAGATATTTCTTGATTTTCATATATGGGTGATGTGTTATCATCTTGGTATATATATATATATTTCTCAGCGATTTTCAGTAAATTAGCACTCTAATGATCTGGTTTCGCCATGATATTCGTCAGAGGTATAAAACAGTGGGATGTACGTGTTGTGGTCTTCATACAGAAAGAAACATAATACTAGACAGAAAAATTTTCAAAAATAAATGTAAGAATTGTCTTGTATCTGTTCCTCTTAAATTCTAGAACGTTATAATTACTTCTAATATGCGATATCTGAAAGGCATTATAAAAATAATAAATGAATGAGTGAAGTTGTGCCTTATAATGCTCCATATAAGGGACATGGATACGGTAAAACTGCAATGAAGCTTAACATACGACTATCCAAGTCTCAGGTTAGCTGCTTCAGTTCCATTTAACTGCTTGCTTTCTGAAGGCAAACTACCCTATCATTCAAGTGATTTATTGAAGGATATATGTAACATTTTCTTAGTAAATACGATAGTTAGACAGCAACAAGAATTATCGCTCGCAATCTGATAGTCGACCGAAAGGTCATAATTAATATGAATATGCATCTACACACCCATTTTGTCTTAGTAGTCAAATTGAGACTCATATGTTGCTTTCACTTCTTTACTTCCGCTGAACACTACATAATAACTTCAATTGAAATTTTGTAAGAATAAAAAAATTGTTTACTGGATTTCATCATGACCTGACATCAGTTAGAGAACCATTGGAAAACCTGGGAGTACTGGACAGCTGTTTCATCGTAGTTTCGAACTCTTCAGCAGTACGCACTCACCAGGATTTGAACCCGGGACCTTCTGGTATACCAGGCGCCTTATGTTTACAAGGCGAACTCGTACACCAGAAGTTCCCGAGTGCGTACTGCTGAAGAGTCCGAAACTAGGATGAAACAGCTGTCCAGTACTCCCAGGTTTTCCAATGGTTCTCTAACTAATTTCAGGTCATAATGAAACCCTGTAACCAATCAACCAAATGCCTACAAACCAATACTTGAAAATAAAATTGTGTTTTCGTTATTTAGGTGTGTGGAATTTCACCAGTTGAAACACGCTTATATATTAAATGTAAATGGGCAGAATAATGAGAAATTCTGCTTTTACTTTTGACTACTAGACAGAAATTGAAAATTTAGACATACCGCCTGCTGGTGAATACATCGAAAACACTAGATCACCTCACTGTAACTTACAGTTGTATATTGGGATGGATTAATAATGGAGACATTGACGATGAAGCAAAACATACCAGAAATTAATATATTGGTTTCTTCAACACAGTTTTTCTCAGCTGCTGCCATCAAGACATTGTTTCCTTACTTTACTGATACATGTTTGAGTTGCTCTGATAGCCAGCTTAGTGACTATAAAATAGAAAGAAATACGTGCACGAATATACTGGTGGGAAAATGTATCTGTTCCTTTCGTTTTCTTGTTATTTCCCACAAACATATTCTGGGGTGCTTTGTAATTCCTGAAAGTTTATTTGTTTTCTAAGAATCCTAGATCGGTTCTTTAAGCGCGTCCTGGCGTATGTGATTGCACGCCTGTCTTAACCCTTATTCATTCCGATTCCTCTCTGTAACTCATAATTTTGTGTAAACATTTAATAGGTAAATATTCTTTTCGGCTAAAGAGTGAACATGGTGTGCAGTAACCTATTTGTTGTTATTATTACAAAGGATCAACAGAGAACACTTATATTGCAATAATCCTTTGAATAAATTGCTTGAAAGGTGTGCTTTTTATGAAAGATTACTCATGTTGTTTAAATCAAATATTGAAAAGTTTTACATGAAATAAATTCGTAGTGTACGGACCTAGGGTAATAATTAGACAGTATTGATTATTAACACTGAAGTCAAAATTATAAGGCATTCCAAAATTAAAATATTGAGAACTCACATGCCCTATTGACTGGATGAAAAGAGAATTGTGAAGTATTCCTAGGAATTCAACTGTTAGTTTTGAGTTCGTAATTGTATGTGAAAATGAACAATTTTTGTTTTTCTAAGTTACAGATAAAGTTATGTTCATTTTAAGTTCCACAATACGCTTTTCTCGAATCTGATAGTCATTTGTGCACGATTAGCAGGATCTTTCCAAATTTAACTCCTTTTCAAAAGTCAAGTAAATAATCTATTCAGGAATGAAAAGTAATTAAAACAGGTGTCCATAAAGCCAGAATCCATCTCCGATTCTTCATTAGGCTTTTGAATTACCTAACCTTTACAGAAAAGTCAGGACCTCTTTAAAATTCAAAATTACCACAGTTGGAACACAAGAAAGCAACAACAGAAGCTGCATAGATCTGTCAGGAGCCTGTCTTCTATTCATGGTCGTTGGTACAGTATCAGCTGCACTTCCGAAATTCCAGTCTTCACCATCCACAGTAGGCTTATAAAGAAACCATGATGGTGATCAATTACAACAAGTACATGCACTGTTTATGTGCTCACCTTGTATTTTGACATGACACTTTAATGTATTCTGAGTTAGCTGTCATACTACACATATGATTATGAGAGCTGTCTCAGTGTTTTAATGCCAGTAGATACGGAAACTTTAATAGAACAATTACCTACAAAAAAGAATGTGTGAATTATCAAAATAAAATTTCATCTATAATGGAGTTATACTCTTCTACAGAACCCATGTTTTTTTATTTATATCAACATCTTCACTCTTGTCTGTCATTCCAAAAGGCAGTTAGCGTTTATCTATCAATAACAAGGGTTTTGTAATTACTTCAGCTCGTTTCGAATGGGAAAACATGAGGTATGTATTCTAAATTTAAGGAAATAAGTACTACTTAGTAAATTCAAATTTCCATTCCCTGAGTGAAGGAAATCAATAATATCAAGCCATCCAATTCGTATGATTTTCAGAGTGAAAAAAATTGCTTATGCATTTGATTAATTATTTACTTACGTAATTCTTGATCGTGAGACAAAAAGAGAATGCAGAATTTGTAAGAATGAAATTTCCATATGAAATGAGTAATTTGCATTAATTATTCCATGAATATGTTTATGATAGTTCCTTTTTATTTGTTGTCACTTTAGATGTTCATATATTACAGTGCACAGAGATTAAGGTGATAGCATGTGATTTTAAAGTATTCACGTATTTCATTTTTACGACACGCATTCCCAAAACTTCCTCTTCTTTTTGAAATCTTTACCGAATTTTCTCTTCGCAGCTATTGTAGGAATTCATATTCAAATGTCGCCTATACATCCCATCAATCGGTGTGATATGATTGGTGTTGCTTTCGGGTATCCTTAGGACTTCCTTATAAATGGATAGTCTAAGAGGATGAAAATATAAATTGATTTGACCTAATGATAAGTGCCTGAGTTACTTAAAGGTTGTATGTTGTTAACGAAACTTTCATCTTCAGAACATTGTGAGGATGAACTGATTACATTAACAGCTAACTCTCACATGTTCATCGTTATACCTGAAGACTGATTACCCTCCACATAGAAATACCATCAATCCCCTATGCTGCATTAATGTTAGATGAACAGAATTTCTGCTATATTCATTTCGTAAATAGTTATGAGTGAAAAGTGATTGTTATCGCAGTCAATCAACCGATTTTAGCACAGAGTCGATTTCTGAATCTACTTCGGTTTACATTTACTTCACTCAGTCAGATACTCCCATTTACTTATTTATGAATTTCGAGTTTTGAGCAGGTGATCACAAATAACTTACTAAATTGAAATCATGGTTTCGTGATCCTAATGCTGTCGTTGTTGTATTAGCGACCTTGAAATCATCAAAATGAATAAACAATTAGATAAGAATGACCCGCCATTATCAGCATTTTTCAACTCACTTGTCAAATCTACAATCCAAACAATGTGGAAATTTGGTAAATGGATTTAATTATGATTTATACAATCAATTCTTTATCCAGTCTAGCACTATTGCTACTTAGATTGATGCTTCGAAATATCATTATACTTTCAATGCAGTATGCTTCCTTCCTCGCCAGATACTAGCTTGCTAGGCTACTAGTTTACTAGTTTTCTAGCCGGTCTTAAGCCCGGGTAAAGAGGGAGGGTTGCGGCGTGGTGCTAGAAACACCACCTCCGTAAAACAACCAAATCCCTACAGAAACTTCAACGAATAAATATTTTAAAAATTCTAAAAACATAAGCACTAGTATTACTTTTCGCTAGAATCGGGGAAGTGAAATGACGCAGGCTGGTGAAAGCCTTCGGGAAGCCAGTCAGCCTATGTGCCTCTTTTCGATGAAAGCAAAAGTAAGGATGGGTACATGAAATGTTCGTACAATGTACGAAACTGGAAAGGCTGCCCAGATAGCCGCTGAAATGAGAAGGTACAAAATAGCATTGTTGGGAATCTGAGAGAGCAGATGGAAAGGATGCGGAAGATGCCAACTACCAACTGGAGAGACAATAATCTATTCCGTGCACCCAGAGGACAACCACGAGCACACCGAAAGAGTCGTCATCATGATGTCACCAACAGCAACCAAAGCTCTCATGCAGTGGGAACCAATCTCCTCCATGATAATGACAGTCAGGTTCAACTCAGAAGGAAGGAAGGTAACAATCATTCAATGCTATGCGCCTACAAACGTCTCAGAACAAGAGAAGAAGGATGCGTTCTACAGACAACTACAAGCAATAATGGACAACGTCCCAAATGGCGATATCAAAATCCTGATGGGCGACATGAATGCGAAGCTGGGAGGAGACAACACAGGAAGAGGACAGACCATGGGTAGAGAAGCCCTCGGTGAAATGAACGACAATGGTGAACTCTTCTCAGACTTTTGCGCCTTCACTGATTTGGTGATTGGTGTCAGTGTGTTCAAACACAAGGATATACACAAGACGACATGGATTTCACCAGATTGACACACCAAAACCCAGATAGACTTCATTTCAATTTCAAGAAGTAGAGACGGAGCCTACTGGATACACGGTTGAGGAGAGGAGAAGATGTGGGTTCAGATCACTGTCTAGCAGAAGGTGAAACTAAAAGCCTCTAGGACAGCTGGAGATAGGCCACAATGCAAGTTCAACACTCAGAAACTGAAGGACACAACCACAAAAGACACTTTCACTGCAACTGTCAGAGCTAAGCAGGAAACACTACGCGACATCACTGAAGAATCATGCATGGAAGAACATTGGAACTCTCTGAAGGCGATTCTCAACGAAACGTGTTCAATGGTTCTAGGAAGAAAGAAGAGACGAGACAAGGAATGGCTCTCAACGGGCACTTGGAAATTGATAGAAGAGAGAAGAATGGTAAAAGAGAAGATGATTCAATGCAAGGACGGACAGGAGAAGAAGACGCTGAGGCAAACGTACCTAGCACTGGAGAAAGAAGTGAAGAAGAGTGCTAGGAAGGACAAAAGACGATTATACGACAACTTCACCAATGAAGCTGAGAAGGCAGCAGGCAAAGAGACCTGGGGACACTATATCAGATAACCAAGTCTCTATCCGGGAAGAGAACAACACAAGTGAAAACTATAAAAGACAGCCGAGGGAAACGAATTACCAAGGAAGAAAAACAGATTAAACAATGGGCCGACCACTTCAAAGGACTCTTGAACCCACCATCGCCTGCAATCCGTCCGGAAATACCAACAACAGCGCGCACACAACTGCAAGCTGACACCAGTCCTCCAATGAGAGCTGAGGTTTTGAATGCAATCAAGCTTCTGAAAGCTGGAAAAGCAGCTGAACCAGATGGAATACCACCTGAAGCACTGAAAGCGGACACAGTGACAACAGCAGACATGCTGACTGCAATAATGCCACAAATCTGGTAGAAGGGGAAGGTGCCTACTGACTGGAGGAAAGGTTACCTCGTGAAACCAGCAAAGAAGGGCGACTTAGGCCCCACTCTGCAAGAACTGGCGAGGAATCGCGCTCCTGTCGACACCAGGAAAAATCCGGAGTCGCGTCATCCTGGAGAGAATGAAGGACGCACTGCATACAGGACTCCGACCAGAACAAGCTGGATTCAGGAAAAGCAAATCATATGATGACCGAATTGCAACTATACACATCATCATCACAGAACAAAGCATGGAATGGCTATCAAACATCTACCTCAACTTTATAGACTGTGAGAAGGCCTTCGACAGCGTTGACCGCGAAGTAATTTCGAAACTACTCGAGTACTACGGCGTACACTGCCTAAATATTCATCAAGCTCATTCAACAGCTGCACGACAACTGCACATGTCAAGTGATCCACAATGGAAAACTCAGCGAGGCGTTTGGAGTAATCACATGAGTCAGACAAGGGTGCTTAATATAACCAATGATATTCCTAATTGTGTTGGACTGACTAGATTATGCGTCAGACAGTGAGTGGGAAACGAGAAGACAGGGAGGGATATCCTGGACCAAAGTGAAGACCGACCTAGAAGACCTGGATTTCGCGCGTGGATGAATTATGTTTGATGTCACACGCACTCGAAGACTTACAAGTGAAAACCGACAGACTGGTGGAAGAAGCAGCCGGCGAAGACAGGACTCCAGGTAAACATAGACAAAACGGAGGTTATGAAAATAACCAACCAACAACAGCAGCAACATGCAGTGTCAATCACCATCAACGGGAGGGATTTGAAAGTGGTTACTTCATTCACTTTTCTAGGGAGCATTGTCTCAACTACACGCAGTAGGAACGGACGAGGATCTCAAATCGAGTGAGAATCGGGAAGGCGAGAAACACATTCATCAATGAACTGAAATCAATCTGGAAATCTTCGTCACTCAGGATCACCAACAAAATTCGGAGTTTTAATACAAACGTCAAGTCAGTCAGTTCTTCTATACGGATCAGATCTTGGCTAGCGGGTCACAAAGAATATTTCCAACAGCTTATTGCAGACATTTATCAGCAACTGTCTT